TCCTCACTTCACCAGCTACCTTCCTGAGCTGCAACATTTCAGACTCTTCCTCTGGATTATTTTTGATAGTGCTGGGGGTTGGAACAGTTCCCAAACAAGCATACCTGGAAGTGTAGGTTGACCATTGGGCAGGAAATGCAGTCCATTCAAAAAGCCATCTTGTTACCTAGCTTATATGCATCTATTGAATGAAGAAGAATATGTCAGAGGAGTAGGAAGGAGAGGCAGGGTGGGATGGCTGAGCTACTTTAATTTGCTCTCTGGTTACAAAAGTTGGGCAACATCATTTTTCCGTGGGTCTCAGAGGCCACACAAACCCTACATCCTCTTGTACACCCCTGGCAAAAGTCTGTTTTTTGCTGATATGCTACGTCCCAACAAGAAACAGCCAGGCCGCACAGATCCTGACACGCTGCACTATTTTCCCCTGATCTTTCCAAGCCAAGGACTTGCTTTAATTTCTGCAGTTAATATTTGAGTTAAATGGCTCATGACTAAGTGATGGAACTAATAACCTGCAGAGAGCAGGTAGTCTTTTTTTACACTTCTGTTCTTGGTAGCAACGGGTCAGCACTCATCTGCTAAGGAATGAAGGCAGCCAGTTGCTTGTTTTTAGAATGTCTACAAGACTTCTCCACAGCAATTGTCAGAGATTTGCAATTGCAAGTAACATTCAGGAAAAATTACTCTTTGCATTTGAAAAAACAGAATCTACAAAGGACAAGTTATTAATATAAATTGAAAGAACTCTTTTCTCTTGTAATGCTTCTCTGATAAAGCATATGATCAGACCAACATTTCTGTGGGTCCAGGCATTCAAGTAAATTGCACAAACAAGTTTCAGCACTTGACTAAAATCCTCCATTTCTTTTGCTTTTAACACTAGGAGGCTCAGTCTTGAATTCTGCGGCTGTTTCAAGCAAGTCAGAAGGAGGTTTTAGAATAAATTCACTCAGTAACACAACTTACAATTTTTGCCACCACCAACCATGCCCATAAAGTAATTTTTTGCCCTGTTGAACCACAGCCACTTCAGGGGTTCTGGGCAGCCACTGTTTTAACAAGAGGGAGGAGAGGCCCTTCAGAGTCCTTGCAGTTTGCAGCAGGTGGAAAGCCACACAGAAGTCTGTTTATTCACTACTATCTGTTAAGCCTCACTGTCTTAAGGTTCTACCGTAAGATGGGGGAGCATGAAGGCCTGCCTGTGCACCAGCTGCCTTTGCACTGCTGCTTTCTAGCACAAACTGAGTGAGACTTTCAAACACAGCCGTTCAGTTCCCAGGCTGAGGGGAGGGCTGGGCTACCGGCAGTACCTAATACAGGACTAGGCACAGACACTGTCTGCTTAGTGGGAGGTGGGGAGAAGCAGTAAAGAGTCTTCCTGTTTCCAAAACTGGGGGAATCAGCTCCATCCCCTAAGAATAATTTTCATTCCATTGTTAGAGGGATAAAGTATTTATCAATATTCAGTACCAATCTAAACTCTTTGTTTAATAATTAGACCTGATATTAGCTAGCAGCTCTGCAACCTGAGGGTGCAGTTACCTGTGGTGGAAACTAAACTATTTCTAGCAATAGTTCACCCATAACCATTCCTTTAATTTTCACTGAGGCTAAAACTCTTGCAAAGAACAGCTCACACATAAAAAAGAAGTAAAACAAAAAGCAACATTTGCTCCAGGGTCCAGCTAGAATAGAGGAGGGTAGGATTTAGCCCTGTTTCCTTTTAATGTATGTTGTAAAGAAGGTTGAATCTACCTTACAATTGCCTGCATCTGCAGGTGATAAGTCCAGTGAAATCTATCGGACTTTGCTGGCACAAAAGCCGAGACAAACTACGGGAGACTCAGGAGCCCAAGGTCTCCACCTGCCTGTCAGTCAGCCCACAATGTACAGGATGTGATGCTGACCAAGAAAGAAGCGTCCTTATCTAGCAGGCAGCAGAGGTTTTTAACATCTTGTCACAGTAACCTTGAGTCCACAGTGGGGAAGGAGTGAATTGCTCCTACTTATTTCGAATCTTCAGGACATCAGGCATCCAGCTCCCATCAAAATGGGTGAGGGTTAAGCCCTAGATCTTGATTCAGCTTCCACTAACATCTATGACAATCTGGTATTAGTCTAATGGGATTTGTATCAAGTTGCTACAATACGGACAGGGTGATGTTTGCTTTCTTTCAGGAACTTACTGCCTCCTGTACACAAAATTAAAATACACAATTAGATTTCCATTAACTTACAGCAAATTCTGCTGAATTGATCTAAACCTCCTTGTGTTCCTATATGAGATCATACTTTAAATGCTCAGCCTGAACATAAATACTTAATGTAATAAATACAATCTGAAATATTTGATCTACTTGGCAGTTCAATTGATCTACTACAGAGACTGACAGGAAAAATTAAATTAGTTTTGTCTTGTCTGTGCCAACATCACATTTTAATTGTAGTGATATTTGATCTACAAGTTTGGTTGTGGTACCTTTTGTGCAGTTCTGCAGTTCCACAGTTCAGTTTCAGCTGAGAAGAGGGGGGTGGGAGCAGGGTCCATATTGATACATAAATATTTTAAAGATTTTAATAGAGTGTTTCCAAAAGGCAAACCCTACATTCCTTTCCCCTTTCAATAGGAACCCCTGCATGCCTGAAGTCCACTAACCTAATCAGGACTGGTCCAGGAAGAAACAAGACAGCATCAATTTCCTACCCATGGCTCTTAGGGTGCCTAGTACTTGCATATTCCTAGTAGGTATGATAAGAATAAGCAAAATATACCTGTGAGGTAGGACAGTGCTAGAGCTGGGGACCTGTGATACAGGAATCAAAGTAATTTTCTCAAGGTATGTACATCTGCAGCAAACTACAGAAATGTTTTAAATTCTCCAAAGTGAGAGTAGCAGATAAACTATGGAAAATGTCAAGCAGAACCCACTCAATATATTTGCTGTATTACATTAAAAAAGTCAGTAAGTCCATAATCAAGAATCACAGAGAAAATAAAGGACCCCAAGAGATTTTATCCCCATTCCCCAGTCTTACGGGAAACAGCGGTGCTTCAATTCAGTAAACGCTAGTTCAAGGATGAGTTAGGTCCTTGAACACTTCTTTCACAGCCTTGGCAATGGGAATTGCCCAATGGAATTATGCAAATTCTCTTCATCTTTCCATGATAGAAATTGAAATGTAATGGATGGGCAGTTCTAGTTGTGTTTTGTTTTTTTTTTCCTGGATACTGCAATTAAACCTCCCTAATATGAACAGCAACCACAGCAGCAACAAACCATAAAAGAGCCTAATCAATGGTGCCCTGGAATATGCATTTTGATGTGCCTAATGCGACCCTGCTTCTCTACCGGTGGTGTGGAGGTGCCGTGAAAACCAACCAAGCTATAACTTGCACAGAGCTGTGAGTGAATTATGAAAGTAATTCCCTGGCAAGTGTAATTATTTCTCTCCTCATACACTTCACTCATCATGGGGTCTGGGGAAATTTCAGTGGAACGTAACAGACACACTCTTGGCCTCAGCCACCAGAACGGTAGAACACATCCGGCTAAAAAGCGGAGATTCTTGTTTACACCCATTAATAACATCTTCTACATTAATGAATTGCATTCATGCTGTCATCCATTAAGAAGGTACTTTGAGGTCTCTCTGCACAGAACACTAGCTTCTCCTGATGACTCTATTGTTATACAGCCCATAAATAAAACAAGTATTTTCCCTTCATCTTTGAGGTCTGCAATTAAATCTACTAAATGGACTGCAGATGCATGGCTTACAGTAAGTGTTTCATCTTGGAAGATCATGAAACTGTTGAAGTCACCACAATGCAGTAGCATAGTTGTCAAATCAGGACAATTCCAGAGAGTAATGAACATCAGAAATTTCATCTGTGCATGTCAACCTTCTTCCTGAGTATGGCCAGTGGTGAATTACAAAACCCTAAAGTAGGAAACACTGTATACACCAGAAATTATGATCTTATACAAATTTTTCAAACAAGGAATTGTATTTCCTGAAAGAATAGTACACAGAAAGGTGATATAGTAGTAGACAGATGCTTGCTATTAAGTACAGCCTCCAATGTGCTAAACTTCTGAGAGGGAGAAGACCCCCCAAAGAAAAGGAAAAGGTATGTTATATTACTGAATACAGAATATTTGATAGAAATGGAGAAAAACTGGCCAGTGATAATGTAATCTTCTCTGGAACAGTCTATGCTCTGAATAACAGTTTCAATTGCTATTGTATAGGTGGCTTCTTTTCTTCACAGAACATCCTGTGGTGCTAATATCCTCACTTTGGGGGGGGGTGGGGGGTTGAAATCTCTATTGCAGAGACAGCAAAATTCATGGGGCATAGGTGCTTAGGGAAAATAGCTTTCTTCTCATTCATCAGAGCAGACCTAGTCTCATGCTCCAACAATATCCCCCATTTACCCAGAAGTGGCATATGTGGGGTCCAGAGCCACTGAAAGCATGAGGCAAGCCTACAGTGCACTTCACAGTCTTTCCAAAGGGAGAGTTACAGGCTTAGTTCTTGCCCCACACTAGGCTGTCTTGAGATTTTTTTCTCTTCTAGACCAACTTCATCATCAACTATTACATCCTTATACTATAAATTAGATCCAAGAACCCTGTTCCCCAGACACTTTATGTAGCTTTGGAAATTTGGGTCTGGAGCCAAGCAAAGTCAGAAAAGGATGGAGAGGTATTAGTTTCTTTACAAAAGACAGAACCCTCAGGTGGCAGAATGAAAATGGTCTCTGAGAGCATAAAATAATTATTAATTAGTTACATCACCATCATCACTTGTTATTCACTGTATTGATTTTAATTGTCTCCTTTTAAAGCATCAGTCAAATATTACTCACTGACACCACTGAAGTGTTGGCTCACAAGTCCAACTAAGCACATCTTGTATCTTCAAAAGAATAAGAGAACAACCTACACTTTGCAGTAGAATCTGATGTGCTCAGAGTGCCCATTTGTTTGCAGGCAGGTCTTATGGTCTTACTTAAGAAGATGATTCCCTTTACTGATTGGGATTATTCTCCCAGTGGTAGGAATATATATCTATTTACACGATCCACATAAAGGAGCTGCGTTTAATTTGACACTGGCATAGAAGAAAGCGGGATCATGCATCCTTTGGTAGTGACATGGTGCTTTGATTCTGGAGCAACTATTTTGCTTTCAAAAGTACAAAGAAAGCATAGTTGGCACAAAACAGATACTGGGAAGAACTTCTGATCGCTTCACTCTTCAATAAAACTTGCAAAATTTTGGAATACCTTACTACTTGCTGAATTCCCCCTTATTGAAGCAATCTAAAGAAACAAGGAGTTCAGAACTCTATGCCTGTGCTGAGTTTGATGGGATTTTGTGTTACAGAAAGTCCTATGCCCTCAGATTCATTTCTGCAGCAAAATGCAACTAGATTCTCAAGGGAGAGGCTTAGATCACTTCATTAAGACAACATGTAAGGACATAGACTATTGCCCAGATAAATTTAGGGTTAGTACTCCTTTGGCAAGCCTAAGTGCACAAATCAGCTCCTAGCTCAAAAGGAAATGAGGAGGGAGAGTCAAACAAACCGAATTGAGCATATGTCGAAGATAATCATATTAGAGTTTTGTGAACACTGTGTCTCTCCCTGTTCTTTATTTTCTTCCCACAACCATTATCTCCTCCTTCGGACTGACATGTGAGCTTGGTTGTGCTCTCAAATACACTGGTTTAGATGAACCATCATTCATCTGCAGTTTCCATACCAAAGAAAAACAAAATGCGGATCAGACCTGTGATACCCTTGGTCCACTCAGAAGGTCTAGAGGTTGTCCTGTTCACCAATTTACAAGACTGAAGGCTCAATGTCTGCTGTGCACAGCCCTACCCCAGCACAAGCGAATTATGCTTGGAGAAAGGGGGAAAGAGAAAACTGTGGAGATGAGCCAAGGAAGGAGGAGACAATACTCCATATATCAATACCACAGGAAAGGTGCTACAATTATTCTCTGCTTGTATAAGTCAACTTTGTCCTCTCATAGAACTATAAATTCTTGCTCCCTAAGCTCAAAGCCAAAATTTGACATTACTGAGACCTAGCAGCAGAACCAGCAGCAGAAGAAAAATAGTTCCCCTCTAAACAAGCAGCTCAGCCTACAAGTTCCTTGCAAGGATAACAATTTGCTGACAGGTATAAGCAGCTCCATAAAGCTCCTGGTAGGTGGATATGCAGATGTGTGAGTCTGTAACTGGATCTATTAAAATCAAAATATACTACTTTATCACAGTCTCCTTGCATGCATCTGGAGATTTCTAGTGCCAGGCAGGAAATATAAACACGCCATTTCAGGAATGAACTGCATGTATAGCTGACAACATTCACCAACACAGTATCCAGGCATCTGACAATCATTCCTACAAAAATTACGAAAAAAAAAAATCTGTATTTTGGGACCAGCTTTTCAAGGACAGTGTCTCTTAGCCTGGGCAACTGACTATCAAATCTACAAGAGATTCAGGAATAGAACTTTTTCTGCCCCTAGGTTGTAAAGCAAAGCAAAGCAAAAAGGACCAAATTATTAATTTCTCAATTTAGTGGCTGAGCTGTAATGTCACAGAAAAGAATATCAGGAAGTCTTCCAAATAAATAAAACTAAAACCAACCAACCAAACAAACAAAAATCGACAAATAAAACAACAAAACAAAAAATACCAACCCTTCATGCCATTTTTTTTATTCCTTTTTTATTATTATTATTTTGATTGGCTTTTGTTTTTTAGGTTATTTTTTCTTAAAATTTTGCTACATTTAGACATGAAGCAAGTGAAAACAACTAACTGATGCATTTAATTTTGAAAACACTTAAATGTAAATTTTAAGAAAAAAAAATCCCTTACTTCCATCTGAAATTATTCACTAAAAACAACTCTATTTCCACACATTTCAACTCGTCTGGGACTACATTTATCAATGAACAATCTTTTTCCCTGAAGAATTTCACGTATATCTACTCCAGGGAAGCTGTTCCTACCTAATCGAGGAAACCAAAATTCCCAGCCCCAACACTTCACAGGGCAGAGATCAAGAGGACTCATGCACTCCAACAGCTGCTGCCCACTTATAGGTGATAATCAGCCTTTAAGTTTTAGGGTTCAGGTCACACCCGTGTGTCCTTTCTTGATTCAAAATCTCAGGTCCCACACCTATCAAAAGAGCAGTAACTGTTGTGTCTGGCTTCAGTTTTTTTGAAAGACAAGGGGAAGGAAGTACAGGGGGCAGGACACTGGACTTAACACAAAACTCAGCAGTTCCAAATATTTGCTTCAGGAATACACCTTGTCAATACTGATTTAACTGGAAATACTCTCAAGGAGCATGAGGTACACCAGAGAATACAGTGAGAAGTATTAGAGGACATTTTCGTTCATAGTGGAGGGTCTTTAACTTTCCTCGCAAATTATTGCACATCGGGACATAGAGTAAATGTATGTGCCTCTTTGAGCTTGGCACTGCTATGAGGCTTTACATCCTATAAATCTATAAATTGAATTCATCCTGCTTACACCCTTAGTCTTAGAAATTGTTAGGCTAGGAACAGCTAATGGATCAGCAGGTGATTTATTTTTAAAAGATGCATAGTGCTGCTTCTTGGAAACTGAAAGTACAAAGACATGGGATGTACCCTTCCTGAAGCCTGGGTCCCAGGTAATGAGGAATTACTTTGTATCCTCCCCTGTCCCCAGGAACACACTTTATTCAAGTTCTACTGTCCAAGAAGAGAAAGGTCTGGATTGTGCAGAGATGCACTGCAAAGGAAACTGCATGCAGAGCGGATGAGGCATCGGTAATGGTGCCAGGTAATACATAATGCAAAAGGACGTGTATAACTAATTTATTAGAATAAATTTGACTCTTAAAAAAAAAAGCATATGCAACAAAAACTCTAAAGGAGCAATCCTACCTGCCTCACTCCTTGAGACAAACCCTGACCTCACAAAAAGTAACTGAGTAAAATAAAGGAGTTTTGCCACAAATGATGCTACAAGATACAACAGGAGGCTCAATGCTGTATGTGCAGCATTGGTCAGTGCAATTACTGCCATCTAAACAGAAAGAGAGATCCACCATTTCCCAAAGGCTTCCCGACACGTGGGACTATACCACTTAGCTTGAAAGAGATGCTCTTTAAGCTTACCCCTGAAGTTAAACAAAGTAATTTACCTTTTAGAGAGGCGACATGTGATAAAGCTTGTGCGTAGGTGGCTGTGTTGAGGAGAGTCCCCGGCAGGCAGGAAGGGAAGAAAGGTCCTGTAGGACCCACTGCTCGACTCAGGCTGATGGAGAAGAGAAAACAACTTCCTTGCAAAACCAGAACCAACTGATTCCATTTCTGCATGCACACAAACATGTCAGGGTCTCAGTGTCCAACTAGATGTAACCAAGCCGGGATAACATTAGCCTCCCACAGCCACCAGCTTCTCAGCATTCCCACAGGGAACAGTGAGCTGCACAAGAAACAGCTTTTTCTAAAGATGATTCTATGTAGGTCAAAGCATGGCAGCATGCAAATCTGTGTGCACATACATACATATGAGGCGTGCTTGCCCCACAGACAGGCAGCTGATAGCACACTCTTACCTCTGCTGGATCTCCAGACCCTCTTTTTTATTCCTGGTTTGATCTGCTGGAGAAGGGGAATTTAAATTCCTTGCAGGAGGTGCCACCTCAGCCATGGTTTCCTTAGATCCCTCTTGGTCAGAAGCACCCCTCTCTGTTTTTCTCCATTTAGCTCTTCGATTTTGGAACCACACCTGGAGTGGGAGAGCAATCCTGGCTGAAAACTGTGTTTAGCCGAATGTGAAGCAAGGAAATTGTAAATTGTTACGCTAGTGAAATCAGTCATTTAAAAGCTTGGCTAAAACTTCCTCTTATTTTGTATCTCCATTGCTATTCTAGTTGAGTCTTAGGATTATATTTGTATCTGTAATGTTTCTGGGTCTGGAAAACAAGCCAGAAATGTCTAAAGGCATTTCAAAGGCATGTTACAAGCAAAAACTTAAAAAAAATAGTTTTGATGTTACCATGCCAGTTAGCAAAACATTTAATCATGTGCTTGCCTTAATGCACACATTTAATTCTCACTGATTTCTATGTTTTAACACAACTGAAAGCCATTTTACAGGGATGGTATTAAATACATGTCTAAGCACTCTGATGAAACCATATATGTCTTTAAAAGAGCTGCTGCTAGAATCAGAGAGGTGAGAAATGAAAAGTTGTGTATTAGGTCATGTTATCCAGCCCATTTTCTGGAGAGAACTGATACTGGCTGTTATTCTTCTCAGGTCCAGTCTGCATTCAAAGGACTCAAAAGTTGATAGATACTAATTTTGGAAGATCATTCTACAGTTTAATACTGTGGTGGTACAACTGCCCCCCACCTCAGGCCACACTGAGAACACACTCAGAACACCAGTTTCTAAACCTTATTTTTTTCCCCATATGCGAAACAAACATTCATGTTCTTGATTTTATCACCTGATTTTTAGTCCAAAACCTTCTTTTTTTCCATTAACCTTGGAGCTGATTCTCTGAAAGGATCGTATCTGAGCTGGAAAATGCCAAGCTGCTCTTGAGATCAGGAAACCCACATTTTAATACACGAATTCAAGTATAGGCGAGATTGGTATTATTATTCTCTGCTTCCAACTCCATTTTGGTTAGCTGCCTTTTAATTGCATGTATCAGCAAACATTGAATAATGATTTTATCTATATTCTAAATTTAGAGCAGTTAAATGCAAAGCAAAATGCAGACACTTTCTTGTGTCTTAATTGAATGAAGGTCACAGCTATAACAACATTTAATTGAGCTATTTTTCATTATCATATTTTAATGACTTTGCACTGACAGTTCGCCTGCTTCTGAGGAAAGAGCATGATGAAGTCGTTTATTTCCCTATTTAGTTATTGTTTGACAACATCATCTTCGATTAAGACTCTGCTTTATAGCACATTAATCATATTTGAATGAGCAAGGGGTATAAATGTAAACATATCTCCCATCCTCTGTGTTTCCCCGTGTCCCTGTATGAAAGCAGGCTAAACAAATGCTTGCATCTATTGTCTGTTTGCATAATAGCCAACAACAAGGCTAAACACCAGTCCTCAGCAATCTAATTGTCACCACCCCTATCTCACCCTTGCACCTTTCAGGAAGAAGTTATGATCTTCCACTTCTGAATGCTCAATAATTGTCCCATTTATCTCAATTTGCAGTTCAGTCTTTAGGCACCAATAGCCAAAATGGCATTTTTTATTATTTTTTTTAAGCCAGTACCTACAACGCAGTGGCAAAAGGAGATTTTCATTTTCAAATAATAATCAGTTTAATTTGCCCGCATATGACCAATGATTCATGTTGAGATTTAATAATCAGGATCACATAATCTGATTATAGGAGAAATAATTTGTTTACAATCCCCAATTTACTGTGGTGAATTCCATTATCTCTCTTCAGCCATTGGGTTTTAAGAGATACTAACATGACCCTAGGGAACAAAAGGCAAGCTATTATATTTCCTACAATTAGATCTTTGCATAGTCTTAACCCCGAGCGCCTAAATAAATAAATAAAAAAAAATAGAACAGCATGCAGAAAAGTCCCACAAAAAAAAATTAATGCATAACTGTGTTCAAAAAATGGTTTGCAACTTTGCAGTGAATGCCTGCAGAGTTATAGGGATCCATGTCTGACAACTGCAGGACTGCTGCTCTTGGCAGAGCTTGTAGATGCACAAAGTTAATCCCTGGAGATGGAAAAACAAACGCATGGATAAAAGGGGGAAAAAAGAGGGAAAAGGTGAGGAGAAGGAAGGAAAGAAGGGGTGGAAAAGAGTGGTGGTGGAAAGAGTAATCATGGCCAATGGTATTTACTGGATCATATTAAAGGTGTGGAAATTGCTCTGCAGGCTCTTTAGCTGTCTAAATCAAGTGTTTAGAAAGAAGGCAAAGGGAGAAAAGTTGAAGAGGTGCATAAGATTTCTTCCTGGCAGCTGGGCTCCCTGCAGTTGACTAACCCCACTGCTCCACAGTGGTCATAGTTGCTTTGGAGAATCACGTCTCAGCTCTTTTCTCCGCACCACGCCCCCCCTCCAAAAGCAAGGAAATGGATGTGCATTGATGTAATTTAGTACCTTGGAGACGCGGACAAATTAGTGTAGAACATTATCACTAGTTAATTATGAATGACCGATTAATCAACCTAATCTAATATTCCACATTATGTTGATGTTATTAAAGTGCATCATGAAAATGACAGATCGTCTTCATTTGCGTTCTTTGGCCAAATGTGCACTCTGCAGTCATGATGTCAAATAAAAAAAAAAATTTAAAAAAAAAAAAGTTTGCCAGTTTGAATACCCGAATTAAATAATTCCCCAGGATGTTTACCTGCACCCTGGCCTCTGTGAGGTTGATTTTCATAGCCAGCTCTTCCCGAGTGAACACATCGGGGTAGTGGGTTTGAGCAAAAACGGCTTCCAGGGCCTCGAGCTGGTGGAGGGGAGAGCAGAGATCCATGAGAAATCTGTCCGGCCGCCCCAGGGGGTGTCTGCCAGGCATGGCTGAGGAAAGCGGGACCGCCCGAGGCAGTGGGGCAGGCGGGGCACCGGGCTGGCACGGCATGGGGCGTGCGGGAAGCAGGTGGGAAGCAGGAAGGGAGCAGTATGGAGGAGGCAGGGAGCAAATATGGGGCAAGCATGGGGCAATGGGTGCGCAGTGCAGGGGCAGAGAGAAGCAGGCTCCTACCTGCTGCAAGGTGAAGGTGGTGCGGTTGCGGCGCTGCTTCCTGCGCAGGAACCCGTCGTCGAAGTCGCCAGCGGAGTGGCCTCCGAAGGGCGCCGCGCCTGCAGGCCGAGAGCCGAGTTAGGGGCCGCTGTGCCCCGTGGGGGCAAAGGACCGGGACCACATCGGCTGGGTGGGGAATGCGGCTCCATCTCCGCGAGGCCGGAGCCCCAAGCATCCCGGTCGGCCCCGGGAGCACTGCGGGAGCTGGGCGGGGGGCTCCTGCGGGCACCGGGGGGTTCTTCCGACAGAAGCTCACCCCGCCCCAGTAAAGAGTATTTTTTCGGGCCATTTGTGTTTTAAAAGGACGACAAGATAAAGCTTTGACATTGGCGTGGGGACGGCAGCTCGTAAAGGCCCTGCCCATCTGCCAGGAGAGCCCGGGAAAGCCCCTGCCTGGACGGAGCAGCACCGGGGTCTCTGTGGTTCCCCACGCACATCCTGCGAGCAGCGGCCGAGCCGCCCCGTCTGCTCGCCCTCATTCCTGGAGGAGAACATGGGCACGGAGCTCCGTACAGCTGAGCACCGGGGGTAGCTCAGCCACAGCTGAGCCGCCGGGACTCTGCAGCGGGGCTGGAGGAGGCCGCCCCTGCCCTTCCCCGACGGGGGGGTTCGAGGGGCCGACTGGGGCACTGGGGTTTTGTCCCTGGGCAGAGGTCGGCAGACGGGCAAATGGGCCGCTGGGATGCAAGTGGAATGGACCCTGGCCTTCGCGGCTCCCCCAGTCACACATCCTCCGTGCCCGGGATGAGGTGTGTTACTCCCTTTCTGTCCGTTGACAAAACAAGATAAAGAAAAACAACCAACCAAACAAAACAAACCAGACCAAAATACCACCCAAAACTTAAACCAAACTCAGAAACAGCAAACAAACAAAAATCCACCACCTCCAAACTCACAAACAAAAAACAAAACAAAAAAACCCTTACAGAAAAGAAAAGTACCCAGACCCTCAGAAGAGTTGCTGAATGTCCCTGTGACCCCACTCACAGACCTGCCCATGGGGTGCTCTGGCCCGGCCCGGCCCCACCGCGGGCACGGGGACTGGAGGTCACCGCTCATCTTGCAGCATAGTTTGGAAGTCAAACACGACCTCCAGCCCCCTCCTCACACAGACGGACGACTCTGCTAGCCTGGTGACCCCTAGAGTCCGGTCTCTTCCCTGTGGTACTGGGCCTCCCTGACTGTCCAAACGCTGGCCGAAGAGAGCTTTTCTGTTGCCACCTCTGGTTTGGTGATCGGTGGGTGGGGGGTTTTGGACAGTGGTGTATTTTTATTTATTTATATATTTATTCTTTTTACCCTTTAGCAGGAGAGTCCGCCCCTTCCCCCCCTCCCCGATGCTGCCCAAGGCGAGAGAATGAAGGGCCGGTCCCGAACGCCGCCGGGAGAGGCTGCAGACTGCGGGGGCAGCTCCCTGTCTCTGGCGTCGGCCCCACGCTGCCACCGGAGAAACAAACACACATCAAACAAACAAGCAAACAAGCAAGCAAACAAACAAACAAAAACAAGAGCACGCTTCCAAAGCTGTTGCCAAAAACTAACGAACAAAGCCGCCCCAGCACTTGGTGACAGGAGCGGGAGAGATCCTCGCACTATCCTGCCCGGTCCACCTCCCTTGTCCCGCCCGGAGAAAACTTTGGGGAGAGCTGGACCGTCTCTTCCTGGTAGGGCTGCCGCAGGGAAATCCCCTTACTCTCCCTGCGATGCCCGTGCAAGGAACGGGGTGGGCAGGCAGGGGTATTTTCCGGGGCCGGGTCGCTTTCTCCGCCGTGCAGCCGCGGGCGCGCTCGGGCACGGCGGGACAGCCCTCCCGGGGCTGCGCGGCCGCGGCTCCGAGGATGCTCCGCGCACTACGAACACTGGCCGGAGGGAGTGGGTGCAGAGGGCCCTGGGACAAGAGGAAATCCCGACGGCTGCCATTTTTTTTTAAAGAAAACAAATAATAATAATAATAATAATAATAAATAGACAAAAGCCTCTGACCAATAACACAAAGAAAAACATCCTCCCAAATATTTATTTCCTTTTTTTTCTTCAGTCGTGCCTCGTTTTCCCCCATCCTCCCGCAGAATGTTTGTAAAATAGCATTAAAGATTTATGCGGTCCCTTTGGCTGGAGGGAGGAGGCGTGACCACGTCCTGAAAGTGTCCCGATTACAGCCATGACACCAACATCTGTGCTGGGAGGGGAGAAAAGCATCTCTGCCGTAGCCTGAGGCTCAACTGCGGGATCACTATCCACAGAGGGGAGGCAGGTGGCAAAATGACAGGGGTGGGGGTGTAAAACCAAGGCCTTTCCAGCAGGCATCAAATTAAAAAAAAAAAAAATGATTCTTTCCATCCTGTGACAAGAAGGGAAAGCTGGGAACGGGGAGGGGAATAAGATTCTGTTTTCTTAAGGAAAAGGATAATATTTAGGGGTCTTTATAAATCTACATCTTATCCCAGCACGTATCTGTACCCGACCGTCGTGGAGCAAGTCAGACCACAGTTTCTCCCTCCGTCCCCTGCACACACACCCTCCCCTACACCCCTCCAAGTTCAGCTCTGGTACTTACACGTCTCTGTGCGACAACACTCACCCTCTAGCTGCGGGGGGCAGTGGAAGTAGAACATGGCCCTGCGGCTGGGTGGGCGCCCGCTGCCCGCAGCTGCGAGCCCGCCGGCGGCCGGGGCCGGGGCCAGCCCGTGGGGCGCGGGGCTCCCGCCCTCCCCTCGCACCGACGGACCGGCACCAGCTCCCCAGTTGGGCACCGCCACGCACCGCCGAGGTGTCTCCTGCAGACCTGCAGACAGAGAAGGAAAGAACAGAATAGGTGAATAGCCAGAAGAAAACACCTGGAGAAACTCACTGACAACCCTAAAGCCCATCCCAGAGGAAGCAGAGAAAGTAATGCCTAACCCTCTGCAACGAACTGAAAAAGCCAAAGATAGAAGACTCCGTGGTAGACACACAGTAATCACAATCAGTAAAACTTTGTTTGTTTTCTCTCCCGAATAGCAGATTCTCTCTCTCTTGTTCTTCTATCTATCCAGCAATAGTGATCTCTCTCACTATCTATCTATCTATCTATCTATCTATCTATCTATCTATCTATCTATCTATCTATCTATCTATCTATCTATCTATCTATCTATCTATC